ACCCCTACGAGTTTGCTTAGGCACCACATCCCACCCACAGCCAGAGGTCACCAGGCTAGAGGACCTTCAGCCCGCTACAACCTGGTTCCTCTTTCTGTAAAAAAAAGCTGTATATGCAGGTTAATCTATATAGAAACTTACTTTTCTACTTCTGGAAGCAAACAAGGGAGGGGGAAAAAAGCTGCATGGCCTTTACAAACATCTACCTGTATCAGACCTGGAAGCAGAACCTAGCTCTGGCCTGGCAGATATTTCACAGTCAATGAAAACCCTCTGCAGAAGCTTTTTCAACAGCAGAAAAAGCAATTTAGTAATAGTTTTCTACTTACTGGACCACAAATCCTGAGAAATCAGGCAGAAAGGCAGCACTCCAAAGCTGAACTAGATACCCAGGAGCCGCTGAAGATTAATTTGAAAGTGGCAGCATATCAAAGGCAAAACGCAACCACACCCCCACCAATAAGGGCAGCACAAAAAACAGACCTGACTTTTAAAGCAATGAAACCCAACTGCTATGAGCACAAAAGCTAAGTGTGGCCTCTCCTCTGTCATAAGACACAGGTGACAAAAGGGCAGCTGGCCTCGAGGCAACCAATTTAAATCCTAAGAGGAGGGAGGGTGGGGAAAAACTACCTCCCCAGGAATCAGTGAGCTCACCCTGGCTCACTTGCTCCTGGCATCAGGCTTTTGGGGGCTCACCAATGTGTCCTGCTTGCATTTGTATGTAGCTCTTCTGGTGGCCCATAACTGACTACCCTTTGAAGACTGTGAAGGACAGCAGGAAACTTCACTGCAGTTCAGGAAGGCCAGTCTTTAAGATGGCCAGGCTGGAAATTATTCCTATATATTAGGCTATAACTTCAAGTCCAAGAAAGCAAGAATTGAACAATCCAAAGATAAACCATTATTTCTGCCATACCAACAACTGCAAACTAACACCTGCTAATACTAACTGCCTTTTGAAAAGTTAGAAAACTATCAAAATTAGCATTTAATATATTATATATCAAAATAAAGGGATGGGGAGGCGGGGGGGGGTGGTCATACTCTTCCCCTAAAAGGTTATACATTGGTTTGGTATCTTAAGAGACACTTCACTCCTTTTCCTAGTTTGGAGGGGTTTGGTTCGTTTGTTTTCACCAAAACAGCATCAATTGTTTTCTATTTCAAATTGTCTTTACAGGGTAATACTTCTGAAAATGAAGAAACAGCCCTTGATCAAAGATGATGTCCTTCCAATCCCAGCAGGACTGCACCCTCAGCATACGAGTCTGCAGAGGTTAATTACAGAGAATTAACAAACTGAGCAGATAATGGATGCTCAATAACCAGGCTCTATTGCTAAACACCTACAAGAAATGACAGGCTACAAAGTATTGCATGATGTACATTGCTAATTAGTTATCAAATCAGTAGTGTCAATCTCTTGAGTGACAGTATTTAGAAAAATCACACTGCAGCAGGTTCTGGACTGCACAAAACCACTGTGCAGCCCTCACCTCACCTCAAAATGCAGGACACTTCCAGACATTTGGATGCTGTAGTAGTAATACCTGCAAAAACCCTGCCAGAACACCATTGCTGTTTTTAAAACCAGGGCTCCTGTAAACAGGTAAAATTTCACTCATCTCAAAATGTAAGAGTAAAAACCTAATTAGGGCTTTTTATATTAATCACCAAACGATCTGGTGACTTAAAACAATGAGACCCCTATGCAAGTAATAGCCATCTACCAAGTGTATTTTGAAGCAGAACACAACCAGGATACTAAAGATAATGTCATTGTTACTGCTCATAAAACAGAGATGATGAAAGCGTGCAGTTTTATTTCACAGCACTAAAAATCCATAACAAGTTCTCAGAATTCATCCAGTTAGGACCATATCATCACAAATTTGCACTGAGTCCAGCAATTTGACAGCTTGATGCCAACCAGAATTAAAACAGCAGTAGGAAGAAGAGGACAAAAGTAATTTGCCAGAAAGATTAGTTAAGCTTTAGACATTGAGCAAAATAAAATACATTTCAAACGTATTTAAGGCTAGCATCCAAGAGCACTGTTGGTATTTCGCATCCATGAAAGCTTCCAGTTTGAGAAAGGTTGCAAACAAAGTCCTTAGGATATGACTGAGATGAGGTGTTTTGTCCAGAGCCAAGTGAAGGAGGAGAAAGCATCATTTTTCTTGCAGGACCTTTTCAGGACGTGGTAATCTGCAGTGCCACGAGATATGGCAGCCTGTTCAAACGCTGCTCACCAAGCCAGCATCCAACTTCACAGCAATGTTTTGATCCATTTCAGTTTTCCTCTTTAGTATATAAATACATATATAGATTTACTAAAGAAAAGGGTCATATTGAAGTCACCTCTCTAATGTTAAGAATGGGTCATGTGAACAAGTGCCTGGAACACTTACATGCCCAAACACTTCACAGCTACAGTTGTGCAAAGTTTCCACATACAGTCTCCAGTTCTGGAGGGAAGTGAGTCAGCTCATCCTTTAAGTACAGATCAGAAACCAAACAGCACATTTTCCTTTCCAGCTAATTGCTGAGAGCCACCAAAGATACATCTGTGGACTAGTACTTCAAGGAAAAATAGGAAAGTCCATGCCCTTTGCATGGATTTCAAGCACACAATCAGCTGGGTAATGCAGAAGAGACTCATGCTTCATGGTAGAAGGAATTTTTTGGTTCCTCTACCTCACCTGGCACATGATCAAAAAAGCAGCCAAGTGCAAGTATTCCACCACCATAAGGAAGGAGGATGTATCTTTTAACAAACATGATGTCCTAAAACCAAACTGACAAACTGAAATCCTCCATTCATCTATCTCCAAGGCTTTCATCCCTTCTGTTCAAATGATGAATCATCTCAGGATCAAGCTACTTACCAAACTTAAGTACCTTTAAACAAAGGCTCCTTTCTTTCCAGTTAGCCTCAAATGTTGCAATAAAGCTTGTAAAAGCATCTGTCACAGTAATTATGACCAGATGACTTAGTCTCAAGGTAGGATCATGGAGACTCGCAAAGCTGATGGAGCAGTAAAACTCATATGCTGGTGCTGACAATTATCCTGACCTGCATTCCTACAGTTGTTTCAGCATCAATACTCCTCCCTAACCATTCCACCAGAAAAACATCTGCAGAGCCACCACAGTATTTCACTGGGAAGTCTACGCTGAAATATCCACCAGTTTTAACCAGTATCCTCAGTGATCAGAAAGTCTCCACAGAAAGAGCTGCACTAATGCAACAGGGCCTGCTGTCTAAACGTGGAGAAGAGCCCTTAACTTAAAAGATATGCAAGCCTTAAATGCTTTTAAACCAGCCATATTAAAAAAAAAAAGTGACAGAAACCCCAGTCCTCAAGAAAAAGAAATTATATACCAAGTTTAACTCAACTTTGAGCCAGTTTGGCTTTCCATTTTTGTTTTTGCGCCAGTTAAGCTCCTGTTCTGAAGGTGAAGCTACAAAAAGAGGTTACCCTGAAGCCAGTGAGAGTATCAAAGTTTATAGTGCACCTGATACCCCGTGGTAATTGCTTACACCAACCTCACACTCCCTCCCAGTAAACACAGCCAACTAGGCCTGGCTTTACAGGGTGAGCTCTGGAACACTCACTGCAGGGTGCAAGTCCACACTGGGAGCATCCAGCACCAGAATCCCACAGCCTCACTTGCCAAGGCACAACATGTGCATGCAGCCAGTTCCTTCTGGACAATGAAGCAGTTTTTATCTGACACTGATTTCAGACATTACTGGACAATTTTCATTTCTCCCTTTTCTGCCACACTGTAGAACTCTAAAATACCTTCCAGATTTCAGTAGTAAGTGAATTTAAGTGCAGCTACTTTAAAAAGTCACCAGTACTTGTATGCAATTAATTCCTTTAGAACCAGGTTCATTTCAAGAACAAGGTGGCACATCATACATATAAGGCATCACATGGTAAGTGACACCATGTTCTGTACCTTAAAGCTAGAAGTCAAGTCTCAGCCAGATCCTTTTTACAGCCCAAACCCTGCCTGGATTTAGAGTAAACAATAATCCCACTTTAAGCGGGAGGCTGGACTGGAGACCTCCAGAGGTCCATTCCAACCAGAGAAAAAGTGTGAGCACTTGGACAAGATCAAGATGCTCACAACCATAACAGAGCCCTCCCTGAATGTCCCAGCCCGAATTTTCAACAGAAAAAGTGGATGCTATGAAGTGAAAAGACATACCAGATTACATAGAGAACAACTGCTGCATCTCCCAGAACACCTTAAAGGAAGAGTGGCTACTTTCCACTCCCTCACTTTTCAGCTTATTTTTAAAGTTAATTTACTTACCCTGGAGGCTAATTTGCTATGCAGGATGGGTCAATGATGACTAAGTATCTGAACCCCTGGACTCTTTTCAGGCAGGTAACACACAGGAACACTGCAACTCCTCCTGCTTTAAATGCCCAAGAAAGAGATGCTTCCATGGTGCTGTCCAGGCAGAAGCTGGGCAGCTGTGGAGAAGGACTATGTACCCTCTCCCTCCTAGAGACTCAGGAAAAGGAGTAAAAAAGCTCACAGGTTTGAATGATCTCATGTCTGCCACAGGAAAGCAGCAGCTAGCAAAACAAGCAGCGCAAAACAGCACTGAATCAGTCCAACCACCTTCAGCTCTAATCAAACAGCAGTTGCCCCAGCTCTTAAATCCAGCTATGGCACATTCGTAAGAGGAAGGACCAATGAAAAGACTTATTTGTGCACACAAACATATAGGTATGCCTCATCTTGCATCACCTATTTGTTAAAAATGCTCAGCAACATCCCTATTACAGCATTTGTTTTTGTAATTCTGCTTAGGTAATAAATAAACAGTGCATTGAGCTAACTGAGACACCCCATCCAGTCTGTGAGTTTAGAAAGTCAACACAGCAGCAGCCAATCCTCCCAAGTGCTTGATCACAACATCTACAGAACAGAACTGAGACCAGTTTGCAGAACACCCACTCGGTTTCACTCCCTCAAAGTTCATCAACAGCAGTAGTATTAACTTTTGGTAATTCACACTCTTCTTCGAAGTGACAGTTTTCCAGGATGTCCTTGTAATAGTTCTTGAGGTTGGCATAAGTAGAGATGGTTTCATTCGAGTGATGGAATGACAACAATTTCTCATTCAGCAGCATCTGTACCTGGTACTCTTCATCAGAGGCCTTCCCTTGGTCACAGTGGTAAAGCACAAACACCAGGTTGGCTGCATAAGGCACAATCCGGCCGCTGCGGAACTTGCGGTGTCTTTGCCTGTCGTAATTGTTTGCCTTGAGAGGCTCATCATCTTTGAAGAAACCCATAAGGGCAAGCAGTGGCTGAAGGGTCTCTGCATGTCCAATTTGGACAATCAAAGGTGAAGAAATAGGTTTGGAACTAAAAAAAAAAGAGAAAAAAGTGCAAGGGATAAGCAAGAGCCTGTACTTTAAAACAAACACATCAACACTGCCCAGCTGCCAGCAGCAAGGGCTACAGGAATAGACTTCAATCTTGTTTCACCCCAATAGCCAATAAAAACTTATTTGGGAATTTCAGTACATTACAGGCTTTTTTAAAAAGCACCTAAGCTTCCTAAATTTTGTCCCAATTTAAGGCAGTGCCTCTCAAATAAAATATAAGTTGTACTAAACGGAGTTAGGTTAGTTAGCTAGAGCCTATTAGAAATATGGTAAACAAAGGCAAGGAACAGAGGAATGCTGTATGTCCCTACACTCAGTACATCTCTCCAGCTCCTGGTGTGAACCCAGTCACTTGTGCTCTTCCCAGCTATGGGAAGATCCTGTGACCATGTTACAGTTACTCTGGATTTGGATTGAACACAAGATTTGTAAAGAGCATTGCCTTCTCCTCTCAGGAACATGAAAGAAGAACAGCAAACCACCAAGCCAAGGCTTGAGGCCCCAGCATGACTGCAGCACAGACCCACTGCAGGCACACACAAGCCCCCCATCAAGGGCTGTATCAGGAAAAACTTTTTTTTTGTAAACCAAATAAAATTTTTACTCTAAGTTTTGCAGATTTACTTTAATACAAATCTACAGCTGGCCTAACTACAACCACATGATTCCCTGCAGAAGCAAACAAATTACTCATTTAACACCAACTGCTTCCTTCCCTGGCACACGACTACCTGTGCAGGGTTTTAAGGAGTGTTTCTTGCCTACCTCTATGACAACCAATGCTTTTAATTGTGTATCTTCCTAGAGCAAGGACACCAATTTGATAACAAATTACTGGCAATTCTCTTTTTCCCCTGTAACATGGTTCAGCTGTGTGGAAGGTAGCTTTTACCAAAGTCTAGTCTAAAGAAAGCAATCCAGTTGTTGGAGTAGTCCCTTCAGAGTTTATTGATCCAAATTACAAGCAGGATTACTGCTCTTAGTCATTGTTGAGAACACTAATGAGTCAATAAGAAGATTACACTCTCTCAGCACACAGGTCAGCAAATCAAGCCATCAATTTATACCATGAACAAAGTCTAAAAGGAAGATAGTTTGTGCAACAGAAGGTTACACATTGTTCAGCCAAAGGAAAGATAAGAGCTGGTTTTCTGCATCAGGAAGTGTCTGCCAAGACAAAAACCTGCCTCTTGCTCCAGATGATGGCTTTCTAAGGCCATGTCTAAGTGGCACTCAAAAGCCCAGGTAACTTGCTCTAGCACATGTCAATACAGGCTGAGCTTTCATGAGACAAGAGGCGATCTATGGCAACGCTCTAGCTGCCAGTGAAGTCCACCCACAGAGAAAACACACTGAGACTGGCCTGAAAAGGAGGTGAAGTCTGAACCAACTGAAAAAAGGTTTAACTGGGGGACGTGCCTGTGGATTCACACTGTGAGCAGATATGCAGGAATTCAGCAGGGGCACAGGACAGGCTCAGTACTACCAGCTCCACACAGCCATGGTGGTGGTGCAGTCTGAAAGACACCTCGCTCCCCTGTGCGCTCTGGTGAGTCTGCAGCTCTTCCCATCAGGCTCCTGACACACGTGTGCACACACATGCACATACCCTTCCCCCTTTAGGCAAAACACTACTTAGCAAAAAAAGCAACTTGCCTCTGTTTCCTGCTCAAAGAAGGATTAAAGTCCCTCTTCTGGCTTCTCAAAAACTCATGGTTCTGCCTAAATCTTTCCCCTTGTGTTTAGGACCCTCCACTCCAATTCCCTCATTTCAAAATTGTAAAGCTTTTGGATCCTTCAACCCCTTTCTCTTCCCTTCCCCTCCATTCTTGTTCCTTCCTCTTAGTCTTTTGACTAGAGCTTATTTATATCCTCCCACTCCACACACACCTTCATGGAAGTCTTTATGTTGTAGGACACATTCATATCCCTCCTGTCAGTCAACAAATGGGAACAGCAACAAAAAGAAGACACAAGGCTGTTCCTTTGACCCCCCACAACTTCCAGCTCAGAGATCAGATGAGGCCTCTATGTAATGTAGGGCCTTGCAATGAATCATTTGTCAAGTCT